ATAGTAAAAGTCATATCTATGCTTATATCTTAGCTAGCAAAAAATATATTTCACGCACAACTGTATTTTTTTTTAATTGATAATGGTCTAAAATTATAATTTCAATGACGATGATCATATTTTAGTTAGAAATAATTATGAACTTAATAAAAATAATATGTAAAACAAATCTAAATTTTGATAGGCATTTCAGCGGAAAATAATTTCAATGCACATGGTCAGTAATTCCTGATGCATATAATAGTTTTCATAACTTAATATCTAAGGGTCTATTTGCTAAAATTAGCTGTTCTGGAGGTTGTTAGTTACTTTAGTAATATTTAACTATTTGAATAGTTTTTTCATCAAACGACTAAAAGCTAAATGTTATATATGTTAACTTTTTATAAAACACTACCTTAACCTTTAAAAGCTAGTTCAAAAGTTATATTACCCAACACTCTATAAAAATAACGTTTAACGTAACGCTAAAAATTACTTAAAAAGTTGCTCAACAAAACCTATATAACAGAATGATCAGGTGATATTCTTCTAATAGTGATAAGATATTATTATTTTTAATATGTAGTTAACTTATTTATAATACTAAAGAGAAAAAAAATTAAATCTCTTTTTCAAATAAGAGAACCAATATTTTAATTTGTACTAGTATTAGAACCCGCGTGATGCACGGAGCAATATTTAAGGATGAAATAATTTTTTATAACTTCAACACAAACACAACATGAAAATTAAACAATTGACATGAGAACGACACGTTTAACCTACTTAATATCATAAACAGGTTAAGTAGGTTGTGTTGACCCATGTACAACTCGTATAACCCGCTTAATATCATAAATAAGTTAAGTGGATGTGTTGACCTATATACGACCCATCTAACCTGTTTATAGTATTTTTAACTTTTAACCTATTTAACTCCAATTATATTTAAAAATAAATTTTCACATGTAAAATCCATAAATTCTTCAAGATTTATAATTAAAATAAAAAAATAATATAACAATAAAATTTTAATAGGTTTTAGTTGGAGTATTTATATTTAACACTAAAATTACCTCTTTACTCTTAAATAAACAGGTCACTTATCTAATCTGCATGTCAACCCGCGACACAACACATTTATATTTGTGTCATAAATGGATGACTTATTTATAACACGAACTCATTTAACCTCAACCTTAACCCATTTATTTCGCGTGTTGGCGTGTCGTGATCCATTTTGACACCCCTAGTATGACCTACATAAAAAAATGCACACACACTATTAATGTATTTTTCAATAGTGATATGAACCTACCAATAAAAAAATGCACAACACACTATTAATGTATTTTTTCAATAGTGGAATAATAATTTTTAGAATTTTAACTAATTATATTGAAATAAGAAAATTAAATATTTTTTTATTTTTATATTTATGACTTTATTATAACATAATTGTTTTATATTTATGATTTATTATAAATAATTGTTTATTTATTTGAAATATTAATGTATTATACTTATTTAGTGTTGCGTGTCCTAAACGTGTCAATCTCCTACTTTTTTAAAAATTTCGTATCGCGTACATTCCTGTACCGCATGATAAAGTGTTTTTTTATTTATTTTTGTATCTTTTTTATTAATGAATAATCAAAAATAAGAAGAAACTAAATTTTTTTTCAGAAAAACTTTTATTACTTTTTTTTTTGGATATAAAAGAAAAATAAAATTAATTTTCTCTACAAATTTATTTTTATAGTTTTCTATTTTTCTTCTCATTTGAAGAGAAAATTATCAGAATTCTTTTCCCTTATTCTTCTTTCTTATTTCCAAATAAAATAGTTTTTGCTTATTAATATTAATTTTATTTTTTTCCTCCTATATGATATTATCTGAAAATATAATTTTTTTTTTCTCTTATAATCCACACGATACGCAGGGTAATATTAAAATATGAAATAGTATTTTATAACATCATTTAAAAATAGTAAAATTATGTAAAAAAATGACAAATTATATCTTATTAAAATATGCTGAAAAGTTGCGATGTTAAGATATGTCTTCTTAAATATCATGCGAAATTTTTTATAAAGTATGCAATAGCAAAAGTCATGCATGGTATGACCTATATAAAAAAAAATGCATATGCACTATTAATATGTTTTTCAACGGTGATAATAATTTTGAGAATTTAACTATTGAAATAAGAAATTATGTATTTTTTTATGTTTATGATTTATTATAAATGATTTTTTATTTATTTGAAATTTTAATGTATTACTTATTTAATGTAGTGTGTCCTAAACATATGGATGTCCTACTTTTAAAAATTATCGTATCCGTACGTTCCTGTATTTCATGTCCCGTGTCCGTGCAACCTAACTCCTGGTATATGAGACTACTCCCCCCGCCCCCCTCCCCCTCCCCCCCCCCCCGCCCCCCCGCCCCCCTAGTATTTCATGTCCCGTGTCCGTGCAACCTAACTCTGGTATATGAGACTACTCCTTTATAATCAAGCTAATCAACTAAGGTTTTTTTTATTACCACAATAAAAACCAATATTTTTTTTATTACCAATAAAAATATAATTTGCTTTTGTCTCATTAAATTAAGGAATTAAGTATTTTTTATTTTATATTTATAATTTATTATAAATGATTGTTTATTTATTTGATTACTTATTTAGTGTCATGTGTTCTAAGCATGTGAATGTCTTACCTTTTTTAAAAATTATCATATCCCATTTTCATGCAACATAGCTCATGGTATATGAGACTACTCTATACACCAAACTAATCAACTAAGGTTTTTTTTATTACCAATAAAAAATGAAGTGTTTTTTTATTTGTTTTTGTAATAAGAAATTAAGTTTTTTTTATTTTATGTTATAATTTATTATAAATTCGTTATATTTATTTGAAATATTAATGTATTACATTATTAGTGTTAGTGTGTGTTCTAAGCCTGTGATGTCTATTTTTTTTAAAATTGTCGTGCGTTTTCAATTTTTTATATTTTTTAAATTGCTTATATTATTATTTATTTAATAGTAATACATTATTAATTCATACTCTTTTTAAACGTGTTGATTACTATTAATTATTTTGTAAAAAGAAATAAATTTTATATTAATATATTAAATTAAAATGCTAGAGATAATCTTTTTTATAGATATTATCTTGATAGATGGATTATTCTGAGAAAAATAAATATAAAACAACTGATCTTTTTATAATTCTTACAATTGTTCTAAATTGTGCGAATTTTAACATCCGTCATTCTATAATCCAAAATAATGTCAAGTGGCAAATTGTGCTACTTACACTTGTCTTTCATATAAAGTAAACTACCTGGTTTTATATATTATATAGATAAAAATAGATAGATATAAATTTTTCAATAGTGATAATAATTTTAAATTGAAATAAAAAATTAAATTTTTTTATTTAATGTTTATTATTTATTATAAATGATTGTTTATTTATTTGAAATAAATAAATAATAGTAATGTATATGGATGTCCTAAGCAATGGATATTGATGTTCTAAGTATATGGATGTCCTACTTTTTAAAAGTTGTTGTATCTATACGTTCTTGTGTCTCGTGTCCCGTGTCCGCGCAACCTAGCTTCTGATATATGAGACTACTCCATACACCAAGCTAATCAACCAACATTTTTTCTTATTACCAATAAAAATGAAGTGTTTTGTTTTTAAATTTCATTTTTATGTCATTGAAATAAGAAATTAAGTATACATTACTATTGGTCTAATTGAGAGAGAGAAAACGTCAAAATATAATTGATTGGTAAATGTTAAAATATAAAAAAAATAACAAGTTGTAAGTATATATTATTGTTGGTCCCTATCGTAGAATATGTAAAGATCTAGTTTGATTGATTTTGTAGAAAACGTTTGTGATAATTAATTGTCGGTCCCTACTTTTCTATTTTTGGTTTTTTAATTAATAATTAATGAAACTTGTTAGTCCTGACTATTCCTCTTTACACGTAGCAATTTTTGAGGCTTACACTTGATTTCCATATAATGCAAACTGCTCTACTTTTATATATTATAATAGATATAGATTTTTCAATAGTAATAATAATTATATTGTATCTTTACGTTTCAATTTATATTTTTTTAAATTGCTTATATATTATTTATTTAAATAATATATTATTTATTCACTCTTTTTAAAAAGTATAAGATACTTATTGGATTATTTTTGTAAAAAGAAAAAAATTATATTAATATATGAATAAATATAGTAATATATTATTTATTCACTCTTTTTAAAAGTATAGATTACTTATTGATTATTTTGTAAAAAGAAATAAATTTATATTAATATATGAAATTAAATGCTATAAATAATCTTTTTTATGAATATTATCTTGATAGAGAGATTATCTGAAAATATAAAAAAACTGACTTTTTTACAATTTTTACAATTGTATTAAATTATGTGAATTCTAACATCCGTCATTCTATAATCCAACTGTTCTACTTATACTTGGCTTCCATATAAAGCAAACTACCCTACTTTTATATATTATATAAATTTTTAGAACTCTTAAAGATTTGAAAACTTTATTTCACTCATAAAAATAATAAATTAAAATAAAATAATAATATCATCAAATATATTGTTAACCTAATATGCAAGTAGCAAGTATTTTTATTTTAATTAATTTTGATAATTCATATAAAAGTTATTAAAACCTAACGGTACACAAAGACTTCTTTATAGATACATAAATTTCCTTTTCTCAACTATAGTTTTACCCCTCTTTTAATTTACATTTATTTGCGATTAACATATCTGAAATCCCTAAAAAAAACATAAAATGCAACTTCAACAAATATATTACACCACACAATTAATATTCATAATCATATTAATGTGAGGATAATCAAATAGAACCAATTCACAGAACTAAGTTACCCTTCTGATGGAGTCAAATATCAGAAAAGACAAATGAATTGGAGAGGGTCAATTGCAAATTTATGATGAAAATTAAGAAGTTTAACTTAGAAAATGTTTATTATATTTTTTATTTTAGCTCTAAATAAGAGCTTTTTTTTTAATTCAAGGCTCAAACATTAAAGCTGAAAAACAATAAAAGAAAGAGAGAACAAGAACAAACAAACAAAAGAAGCTCATAGTGCATTATGTACTTCAAGAATGGCAGCAGTCTTAACAAACAATAGAGAAGCACATAACCTTGGGGAGCTCTGTTAGCTTCAGGAGAGGCCAATTACCTTACCTGTGGCAGTGTCCAGATCGATGTCATAAAAGCAAGGCCTTGTCGGAAGTCCTGGCATTGTACTCATTGTCCCAACTAAAGGATAAATGAAACCAGCTCCAATGCTTGCTCTTACATCCCTTATCGGTAAAACAAATCCGCTGGGTGCTCCCTTCTCACTTGCATTGTGGGAAAATGAATACTGGGTTTTGGCCATGCAAATAGGTAGACCAGAGAATCCCTGTCTGCTGTACATCTCAATTTGCTTCTCAGCCTGGTTACATAGAAAGAGAGGTCATGCCGAAGAAATAGATCCCCAACTTTTTTTCTCAGTCAAAAATAAAAATTTAAAAAAAAAAAAGTTTCTGAGGACTGAATGCATAAAAAACACTGGATTTTTAATGAGAATTCAATTTAAGATCCCAAGTTTAAATTGTATCAATATAAACCAATTCTGAACAAGATTTCATCAAATATAACTGGAAACGCATGCAAATTGCACTCATCTTTTAGGCAACAATAAGACAAGTACGAAATAATTGAAAATATATTTGGCATTATAATAATACATAATTTAGGATAAATGATAGAAACATCTTTTGCAATTTTATATTAGCCCTAATTTATTACCAAGAATCACGGAGAGAATTTTTACTAAGTGACTTTGCTGTCTGAAAGGAACACTCATGTAGTTTCCATGTACTTCTAGTTAGTGGTTACATTGATAGTGGCCGGTTGATGAAATGCAGTAATGAAATTCTACTTTCATGGTTTGAAATTTATGGAGGGTTTTAATAAACTGAAACCATAATCTAAAGTCATAGCCCCTTTTGTGAAGCCAATTATTGAAACAAGCATAAAGAATGGAATGGTCAAGCGCAAAAACCCAGTAAACAAAATTTATAAACATTGCCAATGCAAATACAAGAAGAAATGTTAATTTTTTAGCATTTTTAATATTTTTAATCTCATTGTCTAGACTGTGCTTGTATATTTTTAATATATTTATATTAAAAATATTAATCAGACTTGCAATTACTAGGTCTTTTGTGGTTGCGAGTGTTAAAAATATTAAAGAAGAAAGAAATGGAACCAGAAACAAGAGAATCCAAATTTCCAATTCAACCACAAAAGAATTAACGTGCACTTTAACCTTGGGACAGAATGAACCTGGAAATTGAACAGTCAATTCAAAAACAATATGAGAAAGCTTTTACCTGCTCTGAGTACTCGACACCTTGAGCACCATATGACCTTGCTATAGCTTCTATTTTCTCCTTGATACTAATTTCCAATGGATATAAAAACTTCAGTGGTTGTGTCACATTCTCACAGGCTTTTTGAACCGCAATTCCTAGGTCCACCTGAAGACCAATCATAGTTAGTTCACTACAAAAGTATCCTATAACATCGAATTATTTGTCTACCAAAAATGCACAAGCAACCAATCATAGAATATTATGTTGGTTCATGAATCAATACATTTCAAAAAAGGCCAAAATTCAAGATTATTGAAATTTGGAATTTTAGATGTTATATTTCTAGCTTTGGAATTTTGGATCCTTGATTAATCGGAATTGTAATTACTAGGTCTAATAGTTTGTTCTGTAATTCAAGTTCATCAATTAACTAAGGTGCAGTTCAATAAGATGCAATTGAATATAATCAAAATAAAAATTCAATAATATAGTGAACTAAAAAGTTATTTCATTACATTTAATTATACAATACCAAAAAGTTCATAAGAAGATTTTAGATCATGCAAGAGAAAGGGGTCTTTTCCAATTTGAATCATTAGATATGGTCTTTAGAAGTCAGTCAACATTTAGGTTTAGAGTCTAAAGTTAATAGCCTAAGTCTTGAATGTTCTAGAGTTTTCTGAAAATAGGAATGTCATAATTTCATTTGTATATATGTTGATTCCTCATGAATATATTCAATAACTCTAAAAGGAAGTGAGCTCCTTCCCCACATATATTCCCATCCTAAAATATCATTTCTTTATCATAGTTTTTCTGTTTCAATTTTTCGAGGCTGCATCAGTTTGTGGTAACAGAACTAGTCATCAAGATTAATTGTAGTATAACAGTTGACCTATTCTTACAAATTGAGAATAACAATCAATGAATAGGATTAAGTGACTTACCGCTCCCTTCCCACCATGGGCATGATGTGTACAGACAACAGCATCATATGCTCCAGCAGCCAATGCCGCATTTTTAACTGCACTAAGTTCTGCTTCAGTATCAGTAGAGAACATGTTCACAGCAACAACAACATTTACCCCATAAGACTTTGTATTTGAAATATGCCTAGCCAGATTCACACAACCAGCTTCAACCAAAGGCACATTCTCAGTTGTGTAGGCATGGTCAAGAGGCCTTCCAGCAACAACTTCTGGCCCACCACCATGCATCTTCAGGGCTCTGATTGTTGCAACAATAATAGCACACTGAGGCATTAAACCACTATATCGGCACTTAATATTCATGAACTTCTCAGTTCCAATATCAGCACCAAAGCCAGCTTCTGTGACCACAAACCCACCTGGCCCTACCAGCTTCAATGCAATTTTATCAGCTACAATTGAAGAATTTCCATGAGCAATGTTTGCAAAAGGACCAGCATGAACAAGAACAGGAGTTCCTTCAAGGGTCTGCATTAGAGTAGGATTGATGGCATCTTTCATTAGTACAGTCAAAGCACCTCCAACACCAAGATCATCAGCTGTTATAGGGTCACCAGCCTTGCTATTTCCAACAACCATATTCCCAAGCCTTTCCCGCATATCAGCAAGAGATGTAGTAAGGGCCAGAACTGCCATTATCTCACTAGCAACAGAAATATCAAATCCTGTTTCTCTCAGCATTCCCTTTTCTTCAGGACCTTGACCAACAGTAATCTTCCTCAAGAATCGGTCATTGACATCCATAACTCTCCTCCATGTAATTGAATTTGGATCTATATCAAGTCTAGCAAACTTCTTAATTTCTTGTGCAGTGAGTTCCTCTGGTTTAGTCTTGGAGATACCAAGCTTCTTCAAACGCCTAAACATTATATCACTAAAGGTTCTTTTTCCTTCTTTGTTAGGTAGGCATAATCGGTTGAAAAGAGCTTTATCAGATTGAGATGACTCATGGAAAATTCGAGTATCAATAGCAGCTGCAAGGAGATTGTTTGCAGCTGTTATTGCATGGATATCCCCCGTTAGGTGAAGATTGAATTCGTCCATTGGAATCACCTGACTATAACCACCACCTGCTGCACCCCCTTTAATTCCAAAAGTAGGTCCTTGTGATGGTTGGCGAAGGCAGGTGACAACCTAACATCATCATAAAAAAATAGCAAATGATCAGATTTGCAATTGGAATTTATGCATCTATGCAATCACTATACATAATATGAATTGACTACACTGAAGATGCAAAGGAGATACAGAATATAAACAACTGTCAATGATATAGCTACATGTATCTAAGTCAGCTAAACTTGCTCTTTTCAAAGGAAAATGTTAGAGATGCAACTACCCTAGTTTGCAGTTTTCTTAATTTAAAAAGTCTTATTATTCCTATATTGTTTTTGTTAGGAGTTCTACTATTTAGTAGTCTGCCAATTTAGTAGTTTTTTATTTTATTTATGGTAGGAGATCTACTTCAAGTAGAATTACTTTAACTAGTACTTGCATTCCTCTATAAATTGGAGGCATTAAGTATGAAATAAAACAAGCAGAATGATTTTCAACTAATAAATTGAGTTCTAGACTCTCTCTAATGAGTCTAAGGCTAGAACTCCATTTTAATGAGCCTAAGGTTGGAGTTCAAATTTAACGAGCTTACAATTTTCAGCAACAATAGGTCGAGGATTGAATCATAGTAAAACCGAAGTTTTAGCTTTTGAATCAGATTTTACTTTTAACAAGCCCATGATGAGATCATAGTTGCGTGAACACAACAGAAAACCACAAAAGAAAAATTATATTATCAGAGAAGAGTGAACCTTAGAACTGTTAAACAAATCCTTTGCCATCTTAGGACAACAATAACTTCAACAATGAGAACAAGTGTATCTGAAGGGAATAAAATGTGTTTGTTCATGAAGAATCTGGATAATAGAATTTAAGGATTTTCTACTTAGGCTCTGTTTAGTAACAACTTTTAAGGTAACTTTTAATGTTTTGACTAGGTCAAAACACTGATAGTTATAGCGTACGGTAAGTTAATCTATACAGTAACTTTTAGAAGTTAAGGGAGCTAATCATTTCACAATAATTAATGGATAATTTTTTAACACTACCTATTATAAAACCATTATCTTTACTCTTTTTTGTCATTTTCAATTTTACAGTTAATTAAACAACTATTTCTACCAACTGAACACTTTCACTTTAAACCGCTGTATAACCAACTAATAGATAATACCTAATACCTAATAACTAACAGCTATTAGAACAGTTAACTACTACTAAAACAAACCCTTAGTACAATCAGCATTTAAAATCTGTGCAGACACCAAATGAGTTGTGACATAACATTATGCTTGATAAACGTAGTGACAGGAGAAGAAAACCAAATGTTGTTACTTGGATGAAAAACTTCATCAAAATTTTCAAGATCAGAGTGAAATCAATGTAGGAAAAAAATGAAGCAAGAACAACACCATAATAATTCTCGACTATGATTATCTATAAAAGATATAGATCCATAAAAATGACTGAAACCAATGGATAGCATGTCCAAGAATTACTAAATATTAGTAAAAGGAACAATTGAGTATACAGAATCTGGACAATAATGGAAAAGATGAGAACCACTAAAGTTCCTGTAACATAAAAAAAAAATCTTAAAATAACTACCTTTTTATCAAGAAATGCTCCCAAAGCTTGACAAAGCCCAACCGTAGTAGTTGATTTGCCTTCCCCAAGTGGTGTAGGCGTAATCCCTCCAACAACCACATAGTACCCATCTGGTGATCCTTCAAGCTCATCAAGAGCAGACAATAACACCTACACAAAATATAGCTGAACAATCTTACTTTTTCTTTAAATGAAAAAAAAAAAAAAAAAAAAAAAAAAAAAAAAAAAAAAAAAAAAAAAGTAGTTGATTTGCCTTCCCCAAGTGGTGTAGGCGTAATCCCTCAAACAACCACATAGTACCCATTCTGGTGATCCTTCAAGCTCATCAAGAGCAGACAATAACACCTACAAAATATAGCTGAACAATCTTACTTTTTCTTTAAATGAAAAAAAAAAAAAAAAAAAAAAAAAAAAAAAAAAAAAAAAAAAAAACAAGAACAAAACATCTTATCTCGTATTAACCAAAGCAGAAATAAATCTAAAGGCAATCAATGAAAATAAATAATCAAGAAAAAGAAATCCATTAGACGGATAAAAAGTAATGTACCTTGGCTTTGTATTTTCCATAGAGATCATAATGGTTGGGACTAAGATTGAGGTCCTTGGCAATCTCAGAGATATGAAAAGGCTCAACTGAGTTAGCAATGTCAATATCTGCTGGTACAGGAGACACTACTTGCAGCTTCCTCCTTGATGTACTCATTTTTCTTTTTCCCTTTTTTTTTTTTTAATTTATGGGTTTTGGGTTTTGTTTCAGTTCTGCAAGAATTTATGTCAAGAAAATCTGTATATTCACAAGTTAATATTGGATTGTGTGCTCTTCTTATCTAAGCAGAGGTAGTGGTAGTTGCCGGGGGTGGGAGTAGAAAAGGAACGATAACCTTACAGTCAAAAATTTCTATGGATGTCCGATTAACGGTGAGATTTGTAAGAATATGGATGATATGTTGTAATCTTATTGAGCTGTGAACCAATATCATGTGACTCTAGAATGTCGCAGTTGACTGGCGAATATGGCTGGACTGACTGAAATGCAAAAAGGGTCAATAGCGGCAAAAATGGAAAATTCATAAATTTTGAGGAGCAAAACCCAAATCTTTTTCTTAGCGTAGTTTTTTATAAAATTTTAAAAAAAACTGAAAAATATTTTTTTTTCCGAATACGTCAGTTTTCTATTTAAAAAATTAAAAATAATTTTTTAAAATTTAATTAAAATTTGAAAAACAATTTTAACTAAATAGTTTTCATTTACAACAAAATGTATGATTTTCAACTGTTTTTTATTTTTAAAAATAATATTTTCATAATTAAAATTATAATTTTTTAATAAAATATTTTCATTTCAAAAAATGAAAAATATTTGAATAAGATAAAAAATTATATTAAAAATTATATTATGATTTATATTTTAATTAATTTATATATAACAAATATTATCCTTTATTGTTAAAAATATTTTACAAAAATAACAAAATTTGATATTGTTATTATTAATGAATAATCAATAATAAAAATTTAAATATTTACATAAAAAATTTCTGAATTTATTTTTATAAATTTTATTCTTTTAATAATATTTTATTTCTTTTAATTATGAAATTTATAAATAATATTTGTAAAGTTTTTAAAGAAAAATATGATTTTTTAATTATTATACGCACTCTAAATTAATAGCAAATATAGGAAAATATAAAATGGAGATGCGGGGTATCGATCCCCGTACCTCTCGCATGCTAAGCGAGCGCTCTACCATCTGAGCTACATCCCCACATATGAAAAAATGATAGTTTTTATTATATACTTGTGTTAATTATAACCTTTGTCTATATGATCTCTCGTAGGCATGGCCACCAGTTCATTTTGAACCAGAATTGAATCGAAATCGAACCATACTATAGATAAACTAGAACCAAATCGAAACTTTCAGTTCAAAATTTTGAACCTTAATCGGCAGTTCAAGGGTTGGTTAAAATTCATGTGAATGTTAAAATCTGAACCTGAACCGATCCTGAACCGGCGGCTCCAGTCCGATTCAAACTGAAACTTTTCTATTTTTATTTTTTAAATATTAATTACTTAGCCTATTTTATACATCTCTAAAATTTTCAATAATATTTTACGACATGGTATACTTTACTTAAGATTTTTTTTTTAAAATACAATTTACTTTAAAAGTTAAAAATCTAAAAAGTAAAATAGTAAGAAAGAGAGAGCTATTTAGTCTAAACCTATATTGTTTTTAACTCTTTTTTTTTTTAACCCTTTTAAATTGTTTACTAAGTTTAAAATTACATTCTTTTGAAGCATTTTTCAAAATTTTCTTATAATTTGTTTAATTAATAACATTTAAACAAATTTAAACAAAATAAAGTGATAAATTTATTTTGATTATTTTTTTAAAATTAATTAATTTATCTTATATGAGTATGAGCATTCTAAAATTTATTTTTATAATAAAAATTTATCAATTTTTTTAAACTCATATTAATTATTTTCAAAAGAAAGATGTAACGTTAGAACCGATATAAATATATTATATATATATTATAAATATATATATATATATATATATAATACTATATATTATATATATATCGCCCGAAAACGTGATCGGAAACCATATATATCGCCGAAAATCGTGATCGGAACCGCACCGGAACAGGCCAGAACCGACGGTTTAAAGGCTAGTTTAGGTTCAACATTTTAAAAATTTTGAACCAGCAGTTCAATGAACCGGCCATACTCTCCCATTCATAATATGCTAATTTATAGTTTATAATAATAATAACCTATAATTTATACTCTATACTATATATAAATAAATATAGAAATGAGGAGGAATAATGGAATTTCCCATACTAGCTTTAGTTTAATTTAAAATTTCTACTATATATTTTTAGTTAGATTTTTAATGCATTCTAATTGGAGAAAATAAATTCATTTATCCTTTTGAATATTCTTTTTGTTATATTTTTTATGCCTTTTAAGTTGAGAAAATAGATTCTATCTATCATTTTGAATATCATTTTACTTATATTTTTTTATGTATTTTAATTCGAGAAAATACGTATATTTATATTCTTTATTTGATCTTGCATTATTATTGTCCAATGATTTTTATAATTAACTAGTCTATAATCTATAATATATGTAAAAGTATGAATAAGGGGTGAACATTGGGTTCCTAAAATGCCCCTACTAAATTTATGAATTGACAAAAATATCATTACTAAACTTGTTATAATTATGATATCAATTTATTATTTTTATTATATTAATATTATAAATTTAATCTCATTCTAATTAAGAATTTATATTATCATATCATTATATATATGTTGCTTTTGACTATCAAGAATTGTTAAATAAATTATTGAATTTGCAATCATGTATTCTTCTTGCGGTAAGTATAATTTCTTAATTTATATTTCATTTATCGATTAGAATTATATAATAATTTTAATTAGATTGATTATATTAGTTTCCTTAATCTTATTATTTTTATTACTTGCATTTTTTTGTCCGTTTCTAAAGCTAGAAACTACATTATTTTTTCTTTCGTTGCTGAGAGGTGGTTCTATAAACGGGTTAGCAACAAAATTTATGAAAACAATTATAGTTAAGAGGATTCAAACTTGAGACCTTCCACTCCTTATATAAGTGAGAAGATCAACTAGATCACCACTTAATTGGCAATTTTGTTAGTATTTTATTAGTTGATTAATTAAAAATATCATTAAAAATAATTTAGTCCTATTCTGATTAGGAAACTTTTGGAATTCGTATACATATAAAAATACTATGATTTAATATCTTATAAGTTAAATATATTATAATATAAGATATTAAATTTATTAATCCCTTATTGATAGCTCTTTTTTATTAATATTATAAATTTAATCTCATTACAATTAGAAAATTTGATTTTTCATCCTATTCTAATTATTGATATCAATTTTTATTATTTTTATTATATTAATATTATAAACTTAATCCCACTCTAATTAGGAATTTGTCCTTTAATACTATTCTAATTAGGAATTTGTCCTTTAATACTATTCTAATTAGGATTTTGTACTATCATACTACTTACGTTTTTTTAATTACTTTTGAGTTTTGACTATCAAGAATTTATTACTCTATACTATCTAGAATTATTACATCAAGATTTGCTAATTTGTAATTATTGAGTTTGCAATCATATCTTCCTATGATAGGTATAATATCAACTTTCTCTATTTACAAAGTAATAGAATAATTTATGTTTATATTTCTTAAGTATGTTCTAGCAACTATATGAAGTTTAATCTAATTCTAAATAGAAAATTATTAAAGATTTTAATTTTATTGGTTGAAAAATAAGCTAATTTAATTATTAAGGATTTAATTTTTCTATTTACATGTAAATTCTATTGAATAAATAAAAATTATATTGTATAAGATATAACATGTAAGAATATAAAATTTAAAAAATTTAATTTTTATTGGTGCAAAATAAAGCTAATTTAAGTATTTAAGAATAATAAATTTCTATTTTAAATTTAAAAATTTATTGGATAAAATAAATAATTATATTATATATTATATAAAATATGTATGGTAAGAATACAAACTTTAAGAATTTTAATTTTATTGTTGAAAAAAATAAAAATAATTTTACTTTGAATTAAATAAATTCATTAGTTTCGAAAAAAAGTAGGGAATAAACATATTGACTTTTGTGAATAATAGTTTGTATTAGTTTATTAAAATTTGTATTCCACTTTGACAATTAAACATGCAAAATGTTTAGTTAATATTAAAAAAAAAAATTAATATTTAAAGTAATACAAAATATAATAAACTAACTAAATTATATAAGATTCATAATAATTAATATTCATAATAATAATAAATTAATTAAATAAACACATATATATCTTTTATTAATAATAAATCAAATATATATTAAAAATCGTAATCAAAAAATTCTATCCCATCTTAATTAGTAATGAAAATCCTATTGCAGAAGTTTTGATTAAATCCAATATTAAGTCAATTATATTTATAATTTTATTACAAAAGGACTTAACTATTTTATATTAAAAATCTAAAAATAAATAAATTTATAAATTTATAAATTAAAATTCCTTTTTTTCCCTCATGTTTCCCTTTGTTTGTTTTGTAGCTACTTTTTGCCTTATCATTCTCTTAAAAGTATTAATTATTTTAACCTTAATTTGCTAAGTAAATTTCTTGATCAATTTTAATTAGTATAAACTTGAAAATTTTTTAAAAATAATTATTTGAATTATGATTGTAATTTTTTTAACATTTAACGCTTCTTTGTTTTTAAGTTGTTGCATATTTTTAGCTTCAAAATTTATTATACTTTGATTTTAATATTACATCTATTATTATGATAATAAAGGACAAATATTTAGATTATAACTGAATTAAAAATTTAATCTATCAAATAACTATATTTTCTTTGTATTAGCAATGATTTTCTTTTTTTGCTTTTATTTTCAATAGATCATTAAAGATTCTCTACCATCAAGAGTTTTTTTGCTATTGTTATATCGAAAACTTCTCATTTTATTATTATTAATGGCTGAGATACTAATTTTAACTTTTGATTTTTTTTTATTTTGGTATAGTATCACAAAAATTTTGAATTTGATTACCAATAATTTATATATATTTATTTATTTTTATATATGGCAAGATCTTATATCAAATAGTTATTTATTTTCAACTTTATAACTATTTTATTTTGTCAAGAAATCTACTATTGTAATATCCCGAATTTTTATTTTCAAAACTTTAGAATTTTTATTAAATC